TCATGATATATCATGTGAATTACGTTTTAGTACATGCTTATAATGGTTTTGTTTAAATTTTAAGGTGATAAAATTGGATTGCCAAGACCAGTAGCCTTCTTGGATCCAACAATGAATGAAGATGTAATACTTGAAAATGGAGTGAACTATGCTTCAGGAGGTGGTGGAATCTTGAATGAAACCGGTGGTTATTTCGTAAGTCTCGTGAATAATTAAAGTTTTAATTTGCATCAAAATATATATATAAGATTCATCAAAGAAATGATTGTCTAATGATGTTTTTTTTTCTTTTTCATGGGTATTGTATTTGTGAAGATCCAAAGATTTTCGCTGTGGAAGCAAATAGAATTATTCCAAGGGACACAAGATGTAGTTGTGGCAAAGATAGGGAAAAAAGAAGCAGACAAGTTCTTCCAAGATGCTCGATACGTCGTCGCTTTAGGCAGCAATGACTTCATTAACAACTACTTGATGCCTGTCTATAGCGACTCTTGGAAATACAATGATCAAACCTTCGTCGACTACTTAATGGAAACTCTTGAATCTCAACTCAAGGTTAATTAGTCTAGGAAAAACACTCCAGTTACATATAGTTTTCATAAATAGTGTGACTGATGCATATATTGTGATATTATAATGTTGTAGATGTTGCATAGTTTAGGAGCGAGGAAGCTAATGGTGTTTGGGTTAGGACCAATGGGTTGTATCCCACTACAAAGAGCTCTAAGCCTGGATGGAAATTGTCAAAACAAAGCGAGTAATCTTGCTAAGAAATTCAACAAAGCTGCGACCACAATGCTCCTAGATCTCGAGGCCAAGCTCCCTAACGCAAGCTACAGGTTTGGTGAAGCCTATGACCTCGTCAACGACGTCATCACTAACCCTAAGAAATACGGTAATAATATAACTTGGATAATATCAAAAGAAGCATTCATAAATGACATTTTTCATTTAGAAAAATAATTGATCATTCATATTCAACAAAAAAAATTTACAAAAATGTTTTTTGTCATAAAAAAAGTTTGATAGTTTCATTACATAAAGGCTATTCTTTTTATTGCTTTAATCATCAGATTAACTTGTTTAAATGTTGTCTGATAATAGGGTTTGACAACTCGGATTCGCCGTGTTGCTCGTTCTACAGAATCCGGCCGGCGCTGACATGTATTCCGGCGTCGACATTGTGTAAAGACAGAAGTAAGTATGTGTTTTGGGACGAGTATCATCCCACCGATAAGGCTAACGAGCTCGTTGCTAATATACTCATCAAAAGGTTTGACTTCATGCGTTCTGATGACGGTACCTCCCATGCTCCTTCTCCGGCGCCGGCTATTTCTCCTTCTCCCGACACTAACTGATTGAATTAATGTCTTAATATGTAATGATTCCGGTTTATGTAAATTGTGATCATGTTGTGGAGAGTTTCGTTTGTCTTTCATTTTGATCATGTCAAATAATGTTTGTTTTTTTCTGTATTTTGTTCTTCTTTTGTTGTATCTGTTAATTCGAGAATTTGTCTTATAATAGTAAAGATATTATCATGTTTGAGGTGGTTGTGCCCTCCACTGTCTCAGTGTCTCTCCACCAAATAAAACGAAAATAACAATAATTAATGTGGTAAAGATAAATCAACAGAAATGGCATATTTAAAACAGTGTAATAGAGGGAAAAAGCAGAGCAAAACCTTTTAGTGTATCAGTGGATGACCTAACCTGAGCTAAGTTAATGGTGGGACTTTTAATTAAAAAAAAAAGTCTCACCTTTTTAGACATGGGTTTCATAAAGTTTGAGTCTTATCAAATATTTGATATCTTCATATAGCCTTTTAGAATAAGATTCAATTATTAAATCTTGATACATATCATATAAAGTGATTTTTGATTATTACAGTTTTATAGAAGCTAGATTACAAGAAAATGGAATTAGCAATCAGAACAGTGAGGAGTGTGGCGGTTGTTAGCACCAGATCCTGGATAATCGTTAATATCCTCAACGGTCATCCTCCTCCGTGTCCTTGTTCTTCTCTTAGGATCAGTTTCAATGCGTCCCTATGAAAACATGAAGCATTCATACCAAAAAAAAGAGTCAAAATACAGAAGAGACTTTGATCTCTGCTCACATTGTATGAGTGTGTGTGTGGAGTGGATTCTTACCAGGTGGCTAATCTGATTCAATTCCTGTCCCTTGGTTTCAAAGTGGTTTGTTGATGATTTCTCAGTTCCTGCAATAAATAAGAATTTATAAGAAGAAAGAAACAGAACAAGAACAAAAAAACTTGAGGAGGTTAGAGAGAGGTATTACAGACTTGCAGTGATTAAGACAGGCTTCCATGAGATCATGAGATATAGAAGAGCTAAAACCAAGAACATTCGAGAGTGTTGTCTTCTCTCCATCTACTTTCCCTCAAAATACAGAAGATGTGTTCTGTTTCTGCTCTGTTATTCAAGTAAAGCTTTGTCTAATTTATACAAAAACCATATGTGCTCTTCTTCTGGATCTGTAGTAGGATTATCGTGGAAGAAGATATCAGATATTAAAGAAGATTGTGCAAATTTTCTCATTTTCTTTAGATCTCTACCGTTGATTGTGGAAATAAGCCTTTTGAGTTGGAGACATCACATGATGCTCATCAAACTAATACTCTTCTTTTTTTTAAGTACTAGTGTTGTATTATATAATAGTATATAATACACACAAAGATATATGCAAATCTGCTGAAAATCATGTATGTACACACATACACAGCATGTACACTGTATATACACAAAAACTAGTATGTACATTGATACAGTAACTCAACACAAATATTATTCATGACCTCGCTCTTCTGAGACAATCTGGTTGCTGCAAAATAATGAAACAAGAGATTGGTTTGTGGATTTTGACTGTGTGTATAGAAGCAATCTTATGTGCATCAACCTGATTGTTATCAGAGTGTTCAAACACTGGTTGATCAGGAAATTGGAAGCTGTTGCTAACCGGATACATAGAAGGATCTTGTTGGAAGTTAAACTCTAAACCCGGTTCTAACTTCTTCTCTTCTTGCATACCAAATTAAGTAGAATACAAATATTCCTCGTCGAGTTGCAAACGCGAGAAGCTGTTTCCGTTTAGCTCGTTTAGCACATTGCCTTCTTATCTTAAGCGGTCAAATTGTTGTAGGTTGAAAATTTGATCTTCTTGATTTCAGACTCGAAAGAAGCTTGAGTAAACCGGAAGTGATGTAATATCCTTGATTGCCATCTCTCTGCTGATCATAAAACTTTGAATTGAATAGAACATATAACTCAAAATCATATTATTAAGTGCATTAACAGTTTTCACTCACCGCGATGAGCATGAAAACTTGATTCAGCAGGTATGATCATTTGCTGGTTATTGTTATTAGGAAGCCATGAGATTAAATGGTTTTCTTGAATGCCGTTTATTACTGATGATATTCCGCTCTAAAACTGCATGATAGAATATTTGGTCTGGTTTAAGAATGTGAGAGAGCAAAGAGGGACAATTTTTATAATTTATACATAACCTGTGTTGTTGTACATTCTGGTGACATGGGTTGATTCTTTCTGAAATGTTCCTGCAAAGCAAAATCTGCCTCCATTAGTAACTCTTAACATTTTCATATGTGTGTGTAAAATAAGTAGATGTTTCAGCTCAATATGTTTCCCATTCCCAAAACCAATAATTATTATGAAAAAGGAAGAGAGTTACCTAAGGCTATCCATTTTTCTGTTATGTTCAAAACAAAAGGTTATCAGTCTTCATTACACAACTTATATCACGATCAGGAGTCTATATGTATGTACTTGAGAGTTGAGAAAAATCATGCTTAAACATAAACCATGAACTTTTCAAGATTCAGGTGAAGTTCCCTCAGGTAACCATAAAAATGATCCAGTTGATTTCCTTACTTACCTATGACATATAACTTTCTTCAAAATCCCACTTCTTCTCTTTGAGTATGTATTTTGCTTGTTGCTACTACTCTCTAACCTCATATCATCAGGCGTAATCCTTCCCATTCTGCATATCCAAACCTCATCAAATCTAACAATTTACAAAAAGAGATGAAAAAAAGAATGAAGAATTCTTTTAGGTACTAACTTCAACTACTTGTGGTTCTTTGGTATTCAACAGCTAAAACCATAGACTTGTCAAGGAAGACAAGAATCTCCAAATCCGAAATTGATTTGTACAATATAAGAAAGGAAAAGTCTTTGAGACAAGAGAAACCACTGTGAAGAACGAAAACAGAGAATTAACAGAAACAGAGGATTAGGGAATGTTCACATGCCACATGGAAACAGCAGAGGAAGAAGACAGTTTAATTCGTTAATCAATTAGGCTGTTCCGTTTTTAATTAACACTTTGATTATTCGAAAGTTTCAAACTTTTTTTTTACAATTCGGTTGGGTCTTTAACTTATCTAATGGGCCATTAATATTCTCACACGAGCCCAGTCGTATCTTTTGAGTTCCTTCTATTTGCCCTAATTTTCGCCGCCTCTCTGCTTATATATTTAAAGCCATCGCCATTCATTGGAGATCAGTAGGAGCCACATCTCTTGAAACCCTAGTCTTTTATCTCTGCAAATTCGCTTATCGATTCGAGGGCTTCTTAAAGATTCACTGTTTTTTTGTTTGCGTTATGGCTATTTCTGTGTTATTACTGGTTTTCTTTTGATGCCTGTGATGGTATTAAATATACTTTGAGAGCTTAGTCTCTAGGAAAACAAAACAACTCTGAGGCATTTTCAATTCTTTTTTCTTTGTTGATGAAATCGAGTATAATTGTTTATTTTTTTCTAGTTTTTTTTGTTAGAGGATTTGTGTATGTGCAAGTGATGATAAAAAGACAGGGACATCAGATTCTCCTTTGGAGAAGTATAATGATGAGTATGTCTAGATGGGAATCTCTCTGATGCACTTTTTTAATTGTTTATGAAGTTAGTTTTGTGCCGGTGATGTATATCTATTGATGTGTTTTCATCAGATTTTCATAGTGATGAATTATATCACAATTGTCACTACCTCTGAGGCATATTCTTCAACATAGTTTTGTTTTGTTATTGCTTGCCTACATTTGATTTTATAGCCTGGTGATTGCATCTAAGAACGGAGATATGAAGGGTTGTTTTGTTGTAGCCTAAATTTATTTTGGGCTCCAAAGCTTACCCAATGTAATCATCTTGCTTTACTCTATATGAAGGCCTCTTATTCCTCATCTTGTCTCACTTATTGAAGCTACGTACTTAGTTTTTTTATGCAGGAGGACGTGTCCAGACAAGGATTTCAAAGCTTCCAAGATTGTTCCAAGATTTTGGATCACATTAGTTACCCAGATGTAGTGTTCATAAACATGTACAAATTATTATCTTTTCTTTAATTCATGATGTCTTCTCTATTCACTTGTAAACATTTTCCAAGAATGTCGACGATAATCAAAATTAGACAATTTATCCAATCGAGCAAAGAGATTCTTACTTTAGAATTGAAGTTTCGATCCTTATAAAATGGAACCGATTTCATAATTAACAATCTTTGGTAAGAAATTATACATAGACAACAAAGATTGGAAAAATGGAGTTTCTTTCTCCTTGCTTATAGTAGCCAACATACTCTCTTTCTCTACATTTTGCTTCGTGATCTTCATATTTAGACAAACAAACTCACAATTACAAACTTCTCCAGAATAAACAAATTGTTTCCCATTGAATTAACATCATTCAGAACCGTGATGCTTTCCAACAGTATCAAGACCTTCTGTTCTGCTTCGAACAATCCGATGAAACACTTCCCTCACTTTCCTCTCAAACGGATCCAAACCATTCTTCAAAGCTTCTTGAAGCTTCCCCAATTCCTCAACCCTCTCTCTCACTTCCATCTCTTTCTCATCAGACAAAGGAAACTGAACAGAATCAACCAACTCATTCATCAATCTTGAACTCCTCTCAAACTGATGTATCTCTTTCAACAACCCACAAGTGTTCTTCCTCTCACGCTTCTTCGATTCCTCAATAATCCTATCGTGCAACGACATCAGTGACCCTCCCCATTGGTAATTCCTAGGAACATTGAAATGCACTTGCAAGCCTCTGTCTTGACAAGGAATCGCTGCCACAAGCGCCCACATCACAAACAACAATATCGATGTCATTGTATAAACCGGAACAATAAGACCATTAGTTGCAGTAATGTCACTAGCGCGAGGCGTAGCTAAATTGTTCCCAATAGCTTGTAATTGCTTAGAAGCAGACCATGATCTTGAAACACTCCAAGAAAGCGACCTGAAATGCCCGATTGTTCGGTGATGAAGATGCTCCTTGTTCCGTCCAAAAGACCGGTTACGATGCTGCGACGACACTGAGCTTGAAGATGAATCCTTCTCATCAAGCATACCAATAGCTAACTCAATCAAAGTCTTCCTCGCACGACGAAACTGACCTTCTCCAAGAGGTCTCTGGCTACTACTACTTCCTCCACCGTTATTGTTGAAAGCGCAGATTACGATTTCAATAAGTTTCTGCCATTGACGGATCTGTTCAACACCATCACGAATGGCGTTACAAACATCAAGAGCTTTAACACTTCTCTCGAAGTAATCTGCAATCAATCGATCCGTCGGTGGTTTAGTAATCATCGAACGATGATTGATGACGATGGCACGAAACTCTTCTTGACAAGACAAAAACGAATCAAGAAGCTTCCCAACCCATTCAAGAGACAGTAGATCTTCACAAGTAGAGGCATTGAGATCGATAAACCTCTCAGCAACTTTTCTCTGAAATGAATCAAGCTCTGCTTCCATCTGAGTCAACTCGACGGTAACAGTCGTTGAGTCAACCGAGTTCACCGCCGTGTCTCGCCGTAAATTGAGAAAAGACCTCCCGAATGATCTTTGATAATCCGTTGCTGGCATTCTCAAAATCAAAAACACAAATTTGTAAGATTGTGTGATAATCAAATTCGAGAGAAAATTCTCATTCCCCGGAAAATAAAAATCGCTCCTTTTTTTCTGATTTTGGGAGCAGAGAGAGTGATGATGATAAAAATTAAAAACCCTAATGGGAATGAGATTGGCTTTATATTGATAATTGAGAGAGAATTTTGACCGCGTCTTTATTTTTTTTTAGTATGTATTTTGTGATAAATTTGGAAAAAGGATTTATATTAAAGTTTTTCTCATTCCAACGAAAAAGATCTTTTTTGTCTATTTTGATTTTGTTTATTTTTAATTTTTGCGTTGTTACTCGTCCGAAACACGCAGCTAACACGTAAATAAATAAACCAAGTAGGAAAAAAAAGAAATAAAATAGGAACATACAATCAATCTCAGCCGTTGGATTAAGAAGTGATTCGCGCAGACATATGGCTGTGAGAGGAGACATGACAGCACGTGGAAGATGTAAGAACGGAGGCCACGTGGCGAGACGTGAGATGGGGAAGAGTGACGGAGAAGGCGTCAATATAACAGCTCAGTCTTAGTTGGCGCGTCATAGAGACTTGGTCCCTCTGATTCGTTTTTTTGCAACTTTTCTAGAAACTTTAAGGCAATGACATTTTGCTGATTTGTTTGTGGCTTTACTTGCTAAAATAAATACTACTACTACACCAAAAAAATCAAGGAGCAAGTCAAGGCACTATTTCTTGGTTGATTTTTATTGTGTGTATATAATTATAAAGTAGACCGTTTGCTTTGTCATAAGTAGACTATAGTACTAAATTACAAATGGATTATGTATAGTTGGATACATTAATAATTGAATATAAAGGTGTGTTTAAATGTTGAAAATTATGTTTGAACCATTCTTTAAGTTTTGAACGATAGCCTTTTTATCTTTTTTTTTAATTAATACTAGGCGTAAGTTGCACACTAGACTAATTAGACTTGTTTAATAATTTGAAAATTAAGCAAGATTTGTAATCAAATACTCTTTTGTCTATTCTGCAAAATCCCCAATTTCTGGAAACTGTACCTAATTTGAATAAGTTTTATGGAAGTAGTAAGTACTATGATATTGAAAACAGTGAATTATGTATGATATACTAAGAAATCTGAAGTAGAGCACGTGTGAATTACGAGTTCCAAGAGACATAGAGGCATAGAGCGATGGAAGTCATGTAGGAAATTTTAAACAAAGAAGAATATGACAGACAAACTCTCCTTTGAGTTTTGACTATTTTCTTGAAATTTGGAACTTGTTAAAAGACCAATTAAAAATTCTTGCAATTTGGCGCTAATCTCTTTCTCCCCCAAATAAGTTCTAGAACTTGATATTAATAAAGAATATTTATACATCATTTGATTATTATAGTTTCCAAATTGATGAAAAACTGACATGGTCGAAACAAAAATTATGTAGGAAGTCTTAAGTAAAATAAAATGGTTGGGTTTCATCATTTTATGTCGAACAATATCATTAAAAAAAATACTACATCTTAATTTCCTTAATATACATGTATCAAAATCACTAGAAAGAAAACTACATCTTACTTTCTTAAAAATCTTAACTACATCATGATGGATGGTATACGACTATAAGAAGATCGTATATTTGGTCACAGAAAGATTTGTTTTGCGATGAAACATTAAAATACTAATCTTAGACCGAGATTAAAGGACGTGGTCCAGGATTTGGAAGGCATCGGTCACAATATCTGAAGTAGATAGCTGCAGCCATCACTCGATTAACACATCAAATTCGATATCTTTTTGCTCTTATATTATAAGATTATCTTATAGGTTTCGTAATGAATATTATTAGTTGATGGGATGTGAATATGGCGGCACTTGTACCCACTCTCCTCATTAGTATTTGGTTAAGGTTTTTCTTCTGAAATGTGCTCTCAATTATCCCAAAATCAAAACGCAACCGCAGTGCTTATGACTTGGTCAACGACTAAAAGCCTACGTTAGTTTGTAACCGCACAGGCGCATGTTAGCATACTCTATGTGACGCATCTGCTAAGTAAACGCCAATAATCACAAAAGTCTTCTCCTTTCGTCTTTTCTCGATCCCCCAAGAAATTCTCCCACTCAAGTGTTAGAAAAAAATTTAAAATCATGAGCAATCGTATTGGATTGTTCGATCTAGAGAAGCACTTTGCTTTCTACGGAGCTTATCACAGCAATCTCAATAACATAATAATCCACACTATGTTCGTATGGCCAAACGTCTTCGCTACCCTTCTCTTCCTCTACTCTACGCCACCGATTTTAGATCACTCTCAATTAGGCTTCCTCAAATCGCTGAATTTTGACAGTGTTTTGCGTTTGGACATTGGTTTTACTCTCACTGTGATTTATGCTATCTTCTACATCTGCTTGGATAAGAAATCTGGAGTTTTAGCTGCTCTGTTATGTTTTTCTTGTTGGATTGGCTCTAGCTTCCTCGCAGCTCGATTAGGACATTCCTTGACCTTAAAGGTGAGCCCTTTAATCCAGTTATTGGAAAAGATTTCATCTTTATGGTTCCCTCATGCACTTTAAGCTCAATTTCTTCCATGCTTTGACTTGAAAGCCTTCTTGTGTTCTCTGCTTAAAGTGATCTTGTTTCTAATGTTTCTGTGGAACTCTTGTTTCTCTAGTTGGTGTTCCTATTGGTGTATATATGCTGATGTTGATGTTGGAACGTCAATGTCTTGTCTCCGAACTTTAATGATCACTTGTCTGGATATAATGTGGTCCTTTTATGATTCTTTTTATCAGAAAACCTCCAAATTAAATGTCTGCATCACTTATGTTCAAGACAAAGTTTCTTCTTTTGTATTGCAAATATCTATATCTTTTGCATTTTTGACTCGCTTTCTCAGTTTGGAGTAGCTTCTCAGCTCTTATGTTGGAGTGGTCAGTTCCTCGGTCATGGCTTGTTTGAGGTAATAAACTTCCTTTGTTGTTTAGAAATCATTTCTTTTGATTCTTCTTTGCAGAAACCTAACTAACATATATCTTAATTCTACTCCAAGAAACGAGCTCCTGCACTTTTTGACAATCTACTCCAAGCTTTTCTGATGGGTCCTTTCTTCGTGTTGCTCGAGGTTTGAATGTTTTTCTTCTTTTATGTTTTTTTTTTTTTTTTTTCATCAAACACCATTTAAATTA